TAGCGGGAACGCTTCACTCTGGAGGTCCCAAGGTGGTAATAGCAGTGATGTATAACCCACCACAGAAGAGCAGGAGACCAGGGCATGAGTGTGACGAGAGCAATAGAGCGATGGTTGACACACTGGCTACAGTGGCCAGAAGAGCTCATGCATGCAGGGCAAAGCTCCTGATTATGGGCGACTTTAACCACAAGGAAATCGACTGGGAGAACTTGGAGCCACATGGGGGCCAAGATACATGGAGGGCTAAGATATGGAGGTGGTACTGGAAAACTTCATGTACCAACACGTAAGGGACACTACAAGAGAGAGAGGAGACGATGAGCCAGCAAGACTGGACTTAGTGCTCACCTTGAGCAGTGCAGATATTGAGGACATCACATATGAAAGACCCCTTGGGGCCAGTGATCATGTGGTTTTGAGCTTCGAATACACAGTAGAGCTACAAGTGGAGGGGGAAGCAGGAAGGCCAGGACAAATGAAATCAAACTACAGGAAAGGGGACTACACGGGAATGAGGAACTTCCTGAACGAGGTTCAGTGGGACAGAGAACTGGCAGGGAAGCCAGTTAATGAGATGATGGAATATGTAGCAACAATGTGCAAGGAGGCTGAAGAGAGGTTTGTACCCAAGGGTAACAGGAATAATGAAAAATCCAGGATGAGCCCATGGTTCATCCAAATGTGCAAGGAGGCAAAAACCAAGTGTGCTAGGGAATGGAAGAAATATAGAAGGCAAAGGACCCAGGAGAATAAGGAGAGCAGTCGTAGAGCCAGAAACGAATATGCACAGATAAGAAGGGAGGCCCAACGACAATATGAAAACGACATAGCAGCGAAAGCCAAATCTGACCCGAAGCTGTTATACAGCCACATCAGGAGGAAAACAACAGTCAAAGACCAGGTAATCAGCTAAGGAAGGAAGGAGGAGAGACAACAAGAAAATAACCGTGAAGTATGTGAGGAACTCAACAAGAGATTCAAAGAAGTGTTCACAGAGGAGACAGAAGGGGCTCCAGAGGGACGGAGAGGTGTGGCACATCACCAGGTGCTGGACACGGTACACACAACCGAGGAAGAAGTGAAGAGGCTTCTGAGTGAGCTAGATACCTCAAAGGCAATGGGGCCAGATAACATCTCTCCATGGGTCCTGAGAGAGGGAACAGAGGCACTATGTGTACCCTTAACAACAATATTCAATACATCTATCGAAACAGGGAGATTGCCTGAGGCATGGAAGACAGCAAATGTGGTCCCAATCTTTAAAAAAGGAGACAGACATGAAGCACTAAACTACAGACCAGTGTCACTGACATGTATAGTATGCAAAGTCATGGAGAAGTTTATCAGGAGAAGAGTGGTGGAGCACCTAGAAAGGAATGATCTCATCAACAGCACCCAACATGGTTTCAGGGACGGGAAATCCTGTGTCACAAACCTACTGGAGTTCTATGACAAGGTAACAGCAGTAAGACAAGAGAGAGAGAGGGGTGGGTGGATTGCATTTTCTTGGACTGCAAGAAGGCGTTTGACACAGTACCACACAAGAGATTAGTGCAAAAACTGGAGGACCAAGCAGGGATAACAGGGAAGGCACTACAATGGATCAGGGAATATTTGTCAGGAAGACAGCAGCGAGTAATGGTACGTGGCGAGGTGTCAGAGTGGGCACCTGTGACCAGCGGGGTCCCACAGGGGTCAGTCCTAGGACCAGTGCTGTTTCTGGTATTTGTGAACGACATGACAGAAGGAATAAACTCTGAGGTGTCACTGTTTGCAGATGACGTGAAGTTGATGAGAAGAATTCATTCGATCGAAGACCAGGCAGAACTACAAAGGGATCTGGACAGGCAGCAGACCTGGTCCAGCAATTGGCTCCTGGAGTTCAATCCCACCAAGTGCAAAGTCATGAAGATTGGGGAAGGGCAAAGAAGACCGCAGACGGAGTACAGTCTAGGGGGCCAGAGACTACAAACCTCACTCAAGGAAAAAGATCTTGGGGTGAGTATAACACAAGGCACATCTCCTGAAGCGCACATCAACCAAATAACTGCTGCAGCATTTGGGCGCCTTGCAAACCTCAGAACAGCATTCCGACATCTTAATTAGGAGTCGTTCAGGACCCTGTACACCGTGTACGTTAGGCCCATATTGGAATATGCGGCACCAGTTTGGAACCCACACCTAGCCAAGCATGTAAAGAAACTAGAGAAAGTGCAAAGGTTTGCCATAAGACTAGTCCCAGAGCTAAGAGGTATGTCCTACGAGGAGAAGTTAAGGGAAATCAACCTGACGACACTGGAGGACAGGAGAGATAGGGGGGACATGATAACGACTTACAAAATACTGAGAGGAATTGACAAGGTGGACAAAGACAGGATGTTCCAGAGAGGACACAGCAAAAAGGGGGAACTTGGGGAAACTGAAGACACAGATGAACACAGGGATGTTAGGAAGTAATTTCTTCAGCCACAGAGTAGTCAGGAAGTGGAATAGTTTGGGAAGAGATGTAGTGGAGGCAGGATCCATACATAGCTTTAAGCAGAGGTACGAATAAAGCTCATGGTTCAGGGAGGGGACCTAATGGGCGAGGTTGTGAAGAGGCGGGGCCAGGAGCTTTGGACTCGGGGCCCTGCAACCTCAACTAGGTGAGTACACACACACACACCCCACACACACACATATGTATATATGTTTCATATATATATATATTTATATATATATATATATATATTTTATATATATATATATATTTTATATATATATAATATATATATATAAAATAATATATTATATATATATTTACATATATAAAATAAAAAACTGATCTCTGGCAGAAGGGGACTCGAACCTACGAACCTTGGAAAAAAGGTATGCAGTGCTTTACCATTCTCACCTCACTGGACCAATATCTTGGCGTCCAGCTCGCGCTAAACGTTGATCCAAGGCAAACCAGATTTCAGGAAGAAAGGGTTACAGCTTTTCATCTCATCCCCTGCATGCATCAGCCTTACTAGAGATTTTAAACAATGCAAGGAATTCGCAAGAGCAGGCCAGAGATCAGTGTTTGTGTAAATTTTGCCCGCTCTTTCGAATTCCTTGCATACACACACACACACACACACACACATATATATATATATATATATATATATATATATATATGTGTGTGTGTGTGTGTGTGTGTGTGTGTGTGTGTGTGTGTGTGTGTGTGTGTGTGTGTGTTTGTGTGTGTGTGTGTGTGTGTAGAATAACCATTGTGAAAAAGATAATAGAATTCCAGGCGCTTTCGTGATTTCTGTGCTTCTCAGAGAGTGATCATCACTGCACATCTCAAAATATCTTCACATCATCATTCATCATTTCACTGTCCTGATCGACAGTTTCCTGAGTCAACACAACAGCCAAAGTTTACATTTCTTTAAATTCTTTAATTTTCCTGGATATTTTATCAATTTTGATAAGAGAAATTTTATTTTTTTTTACTTTCTTTAGGAAACTTAAATTCCGAAATCTCTGGATTGAAGGATTTTTAGCTTTGGAAAATTATTTGGAACAACAAGAAACAAACACAGAGAAATATTTTCGGCCTTGTATACTACATGTTAAGAAATTAACAAGAAAAATGTTTATATTGTACTGAAATATCTTCCTTTAATTAAATTAATAATAAGTCAGTCACTGGTAAGATCCTTGAGACAATAATCTCAAGACAAATGACAGAGTTTTTTGACTACCACTCACTACTTTGTGATCGTCAATATGGCTTCAGGAAAGGTTACTCTGCTGCTGATCTGTTGTTAAACCTCTCCACTAAGTGGCACCAGTCACTGGATGAATTCAAGGTCAACTGTGTGATAGCACTGGACATTGTTGGCGCTATCGACCGAGTATGACATCAAGGAATCTTGGCAACACTACAAGCACTAGAAGTCGCCGGCTCTGCACTATGTCCCCTTCAGTTATTACTTTCACGGTAGTTCTCAGTGTGACAGAGTCAACAACACACTCAAGCTGTGCCATTGTTACACACAGTAGTGTGCTTGGGCCATTGTTATGGAATGTCTACTTCAATGGCCTTCCTCTACCTATCTCAGAATCCCATGTCTAGGCAGGTGACTGTACTCGCACATTTACTTACAGTTATATCAGCCTGGGAAAAACAATGGCAGGTTATATTTTCTTCTAAGAAATCACAAATGATCATGGTCTCTAGCAAACATGATGGAAATGCCAAAATTGAAGAATATTGGTACCTTGGGATGAAGTTGATAACTTCGGGATAAATTCTGATTCCAAACTATTCTATAAAGAATCACGTGGTAAATCTTGCAAGCAAGGCAGTCACGAATCTAACAGCACTAAGGTGTATCTCGTACTTGTTCGACAGCAGAGGTATAAATGCGCTCACACCATGAGTATGCACCACTTTCTTGGATTACCTGCCCCTTTCTGTTTTCTCCATGACCTCTGGACAAAACAGACAACCGATCAAGACGACTCATCTCTCGCCTGGACAAATCTGTCATTTCAGCAGAGCCTTTAACACTGGAGAGATGAGAGTGGTCTTTCTCTTATGCATAAGACCAGTGTCGTCCAGGTACCACAACGGCTCACTTTGTGGCCAGCGAGAAAACAGCTTCTACACAAGACGGGCAGCAACTTCATTCTGTCTCTAGCATTCTCCAGGACATCACTTCATCTTAGATCATTTACTCCTACGATGACTCGTGTTTGGAACATGTTCGTACACCATAACAACATCGACGAAATAAAGGCAGTTGACCAAAGAAACTCGCTAACCCATAGATGGTTCCAACTTCATGCTTTTCCCTATTTGGATGTCTCTGAACAATACAAATATTTCCGAGCGAGGGTAAGTAACAACTCTTAGCCTGTAAATAACGTTAGTAATTCTAACCCCTTTAAAAATCACTGTATAAAAAAAAAATTCAGTGCAAATATTGACATTTTCACAACACAACTTTCAAAGAACTCACGAAGGATATACGTAGCCATATAGTGAGTATCATAAGTCATGCCAACGATGAACCTGAAGGCGGTGAAGGAGGCGAATGAGGTGCAGAAGGCCGAGGCTATTCCTGCCACACAGCCTATCATGTTAGTGAGGACAATGACCGGCAGACGACCCCACTTGTCTGCTGCCCATCCCAGCACCGGCGACGCTACCAGAGATCCCACGAAGAACAGCGACTGTGACAACGCTGGTCGCCAGTCATTGTCACACACCCAGTCCAGCTGTGAATCAGAAAAGCCAACGATTAACTGACTGGTTAATTGAGTTTAAAGACTATCTACTACACGAGGATTATTAAGGCTGCATGTCACCTGTTCACCATCAGTCAAGAAAATATGGATTAAACTGTAGGTATATATACACAGAAATATGTACAATGTAATGGTGATACCGATAAGATGTGGAACAAGACAGTCACGTACAGTTCAGGACATTTATTAGCTGAAACGTTTCGCCACGAGTGACTTCTTCAGTCCTAATTAGAACTGAATTATACAAAAGTGTCTTTTTTCACTGAGAAATAGTCACCATGGTTTCATAGGTCAAAAAAAGAGATTAAGGGTATTTAAACTTTTGTTTTTCATGAGGCTTTAAACCCGTGTAGTTATTTCTTGCAGGGAGTGGTATAGACTCGATCCTCCATCCTATAAAGTGGTTTTGACTGATCAACCAGGCTGTGGGCCACTCAGTGTAGTTGACTGGTTGCACTAGACGGTTCTCGTCAGAGTATTGCCTGGTGGCTCAGTCACTGTTCTTTGTTGTTACCCAGAAACTGTATGACAGCGTTCACTGTGGCCATTATAGTTTCTGGTGACTTAGTAGTGGCTGGTAACTTAGTGGTGGCTGGTGACTTAGTAGTGGCTGGTAACTTAGTGGTGGCTGGTGACTTAGTTGTGACTTGTGACTTAGTAGTGGCTGGTGACTTAGTAGTGGCTGGTGACTTAGTAGTGGCTGGTGACTTAGTGGTGGCTGGTGACTTAGTGGTGGCTGGTGACTTAGTAGTGGCTGGTGACTTAGTGGTGGCTGGTGACTTAGTAGTGGCTGGTGACTTAGTAGTGGCTGGTGACTTAGTGGTGGCTGGTGACTTAGTAGTGGCTGGTGACTTAGTAGTGGCTGGTGACTTAGTAGTGGCTGGTGACTTAGTAGTGGCTGGTGACTTAGTAGTGGCTGGTGACTTGGTAATGGCTGGTGACTTAGTAGTGGCTGGTGACTTAGTAATGGGCGTGATTAGTAGTGGCTGGTTACTTAGTAGTGGCTGGTGACTTAGTAGTGGCTGGTGACTTAGTAGTGGCTGGTGACTTAGTAGTGGCTGGAGACTCCACTTGAAGATATCTCGTTAAAGAGACTTGGAAATCAGGAATAGGAACGACTGGATATAACACGAGTCAATGCAGGATAGTGTCAGGGATACATGCATCATCAGGGATACATGCATCATTAGAGATACATGCATCATCAGGGATACATGGATCATCAGAGGTACATGGATCATCAGGGATACATGCATCATTAGAGATACATGCATCATCAGGGATACATGGATCATCAGGGATACATGCATCATCAGGGATACATGGATCATCAGAGATACATGGATCATCAGGGATACATGGATCATCAGGGATACATGGATCATCAGGGATACATAGATTATCAGGGATACATGGATCATCAGGGATACATGCATCATTAGAGATACATGCATCAGCAGGGATACGTGGATCATCAGGGATACATGCATCAGCAGGGATACATGGATCATCAGGGATACATGCATCATCAGGGATACATGCATCATCAGGGATACATGCATCATTAGAGATACATGCATCATCAGGGATACATGGATCATCAGGTATACATGGATCATCACGGATACATGGATCATCAGGGATACATGCATCATTAGAGATACATGCATCATCAGGAATACATGGATCATCAGGGATACATGCATCATTAGAGATACATGGATCATCAGGGATACATGGATAATCAGGGATACATGCATCATCAGGAATACATGGATCATCAGGGATACATGCATCATCAGGGGTACTTTGATCATCAGGAATACATGCATCAGGGATACATAGATCATCAGATATACGTGCATCATCAGGGATACATACATCATCAGACATACATGGATCATCAGATATACATACATCAGGGACACATGCATTATCAGGGATACGTGAATAATTGTCTATCTGAGAAGTGTTGTGGTTACCTGAGAGGTGATAGTAGGATAGTAGAGAGAATAGTTATAGTTCCAGCCATGTATGCAGCTGGTGGTGGGCCAGGACACGTTGGGCCAGCTGGTGTTAGTCCTCACCACCTGGAACCGAAGAAGGAGATGATATTCAAAGAAAAATCAAGAAAAAATCAGCATTTTAATTCGACATTTTTCCAAGATTATCGTTCAGACCAGTAATTTGCGTCATTCAATTCCGTAGCATCAGGTAATTTTTGTCTAGATTTATGCATTTAAACCCAAAATATCTTAATTTTACTGGAGAAAAAATCAAATTTCCTGTAAATGTTTGAAAAAAAAAGTCAATACATGTGAAAATATTGCGACATACATAATGTTTCTAAACAATAACATACAGTGTATTGAACAATAAAAAAAAATGCTTTTCGAATCACGAAATCGTAATGACATTATTGCAAACAAACCATACCACGGGCGGGGATAGAAGCCGCGGTCAGAGAGTCATAAAACTCCAGACCGACGAGTTTTATGACTCCCTGGTCGCGGGTTCTATCCCTACCCGTGATATGGATTGACGAAGAATTTTTTTCAAAAACCTCTGGTGGCCTGGTGGTTAACGCTCTCGCTTCACACGGTGAGTGCCTGGGTTCGATTCCCAGCCAGAGTAGAAACATTGGACGTGTTTCTTTCCACCTGTTGTCTATGTTCCCCATCAGTAAAATGGGTACCTGGGTGTTAGTCGACTGGTGTGGGTCGCATCCTGGGACACTGACCTAAGGAGGCCTGGTCACAGACCTGGCCGCGGGGGCGTTGACCCCCGGAACTCTCTCCAGATAAACTCCAGATAAACGATTGGTACCTCGTTAAAGTCAACGTTATACATCGTACAGTGTAGAAATTCGCCAGTGGAGGCGTCCCTTGGGATGGTGAGCTCCTTGAGTTCTTCCTCCGTCAGGTTGAGCTTCTGAAGGTGAGGTGGTGGAGTGCACCAGTGGGGTGGCGTCAGAGTCATGAACATCTGGCCGTAGTAGACGAAGGCGAAGAAGGTGTTTACCAGACAGTTGACCAGGAACAGTACCTGCAGAAGAACAGGAAGATGACAGATGAGACAATGATAACTAGAACCTGCAGAAGAACAGGAAGATGACAGATGAGACAATGATAGCTAGAACCTGCAGAAGAACAGGAACATAACAGACGAGACAATGATAAATAGAACCTGCAGAAGAACAGGAACATAACAGATGAGACAATGATAGCAAGAACAATACTCAGTAGGTGCAGAACATGATAGCTAGGACGATCATGACATATAATTAACTAATTGAATAACTAGTTAAAAACGACATTAATACATAACAAGCTTAGGGTATAACTAGAAAAACACAGAAGCAGCAGCTAAGACACCTTAATCGATATCAATGTATTTGATCAAGGTCCAGTGACTCAATCATCCTCAGTAAGGTACCTCGGAGAATACTCGTGTACTATTCTCTCACCTCGTAAGGTGAATATCGCCTTAAAGTGAATATCGCCTTAAAGTGAATATCGCCTTAAAGTGAATATCACCTTAAAGTGAATATCACCTTAAAGTGAATATCACCTTAAAGTGAATATCACCTTAAAGTGAATATCACCTTAAAGTGAATCACCTTTTTTCCACTTGCCAGTGCATATAAAAGCCTAGAAACATTTACATTATTATTTATTAAAATGCACAGTAGCACTAGGCCTCAAAAAAGATGCAAAGGTAAAAATAATTATGAAAAATTGAAAATTGCCGAAAACCATCGTAATGAACCTGAATATAACTGAAAAGCGCTGTATACACGAAGCACTCTAAAACAAGTGCCGTATTAACGAGGCTTGTCTGTACCTTCTTAGTACTGACTAGAAACTCGCTAACAGAGACGAAATTATTATTATTATTATTATTGCAGTCACAGGGAAGCGCTAAACCCGTTTAGACCATACGGCACCAGGGGGAAAATAAGAGATATTGAGATTTAACAGGTCCCATTTCTTAGATCAAGAGCCCCCTCACCGGCATCTATCTGTCATCTGTATCCCCTTGAGGGAACAGAGATGACAAATGGATAGACTTGTATGGTATATGGGCACAGTTCTCAGGTTACCAGGAACTGGTAAAGAGTTTTGAGGATTTGATCCGCAGACTTCAGTTGTGAGAGGCGCGACTCTCACCACTGGGCTACGGCTGTTGGTATCAGAGCACAGAAAATGACATTAAGTAGTGTGTCCCAGGAAGAAATCTTTCAGGGGACCCACTGGATACTTCACCAAGTAACTCACCACCACCACCTACCTAGAATCTACTTGGAGGTTGTTACATGGGTCAACGCCCCTACAGCCCGGTCCTTGACCAGGCCACCCAAGAATATCAGGGCCTGATCAACCAGTGGTCTATCTCCAGCAACCTGATTGGCCAGAGACCCGGCCTTAATTAACTCTGAGCGTCGCACTGTAATCACACTGATCACATCGACTCCATGCTGAAGAACTAATTACCTCAAACTCCTTCAGATCGTCAATCATTATTCTCTGTACTGGACTGAAGAAGCCTCTGGCTGGCTAAACGTTTGCACAATAAAGGTAGCCGAGTATTGCACAAGTACTTAATTCATCATCCTGTCGGTTCTGTGAACCAATCATCCACACAGTGAAGGAACCACTACTCACCATCTGATAGCGGCCAAATCCACCGATGTGGACGAGGATGCCATCGAAGTCTTTGATAGTCATTGCTGAAGCTGAAGGAGAAGATGTGACGAAGAACCTTACAGTCCTCTAAACTTACTAAAGAACTTAGAGTCCTCTAAGCTTACTGAAGAACCTCACAGTCCTCTGAACCTGCAAAATAATAAAAGAAAGATGAACGAGATCGAAATAAACAAGAAGACACAAGACTCGACACCGCCCTCTTGAGCACACCTTACTGATCTTCAATTATTATTATTACATACATGGGTGAGCACTAAGCCCATAGGGGAATGGAAGGCAATCAGGACTGATTCAAGGAGCCTTCTTTTGGGAGGACTGCTCTTCAATAAATGTCAATTTCTCATTTCTTTCAGTGTTTCAGCAACGTACTGGTCAGAGGCTCATTTCCACAAGACTGTCTCCAGTCCTCCATATAAAAGATGGGGTTGCTGGCAGTCTGTTCCTGGCAGGAATATACTGCTTATGCTGTTTCCTTATTGGCGAGTATCTAGCAGTAAGAAATAGTACCTCAGTAAAAATAGGAAACAAAACCTAAGCGCTTTCATGTGCTTACACACACATCTTCAGAGGAATATGAAGAAGAGGCAGGAGATATATATGCAAACACACGAAAGCGCTCAGGTTTTATTTGCTGTTTTCACTGTGGTATTTTTCCCTATCTGCCATCACGCGTTGTATTGTGATTTCTTCCATATAACAGTGAAGAGAGTTCAATTTAACTCAGGAAGAAGGTAGACTTCAACCCCACTAATTATTCTATATTAAAATCTTATTTCTTTTTAAAGGAATGGAGGGGTAAGCCAGTGGAAGGTCTCGGATAGATTACCAAAAGTTCCAGTTGCGGGTCTTCATATGACTAAGACCCCGGTCAGGAAACACTTGTTTCCTGATGAATCTTACCTAACCTATCCTTCACTAATTATGTATATTTCTGTATACTTCGTGTACTCATGTATACTATACACTGCTCGTTATATTATGTGTTTACCGTCGCTTGGTTAAGATTTTCGTTAGTAATGTTACGTTATTTTAGTCTAACCCAACGTTGTTAACGAAGAATAACTAAACCAATTTAGCTACCCCAGCCTAACTAACCCAACCTAAATATCCCAGAATAGCTAACCCAACCTAGTTAACCCAGAATAGCTAACCCAACCTAGCTAACCCAACCTAGCTAACCCAGAATTACTACCTCAACCTAGCTAACCCAATCTATCTAACCCAGAATAGCTAACCCAACCTACCTAACCCAGCCTACCTAACCAAATCTAGCTAACCAATCTACTTAATCCAAAATAGTTAACCCAACCTATTTAAACCAATATTGCTAACTCAACCTAGCTAACCCAGAATAGCTAACCCAACCTAGCTAACCTAGAATAGCTAACCCAACCTAGCTAACCAAAAATAGCTAACCTAATCTAGTTAACCCAGAATAGCTAACCCAACATAGCTAACCCAACCTAGCTAACCCAACCTAGCTAACCCAACCTAGCTAACCCAACCTAGCTAACCCAACCTAGCTAACCCAGAATAGCTAACTCAACCTAGCTAAGCCAATCTATATAACCCAGAATAGCTAACCTAACCTACCTAACCCACCCTATCAAACCCAATCTAGCTAACCAACCTACTTAATCCAAAATAGTTAACCCAGCCTAGTTAAACCAACATAGCTAACCCAGAATAGTTAACCCACCCTAGCTAACCCAGAATAGCTAATCCAGAATAGATAACTCAGAATAGCTAACCCAGATTAGCTAACTTACTGTAGCTAACCCAGAAAAAGCTAAGCCAACATAGGTAACCCAGCCCAACCTGGAATAAGAAATATATAATATTGATAGCTGTTGAGATCGAGTAGAATATAACGTATTGTAACGGTAGTGGACACAGGAGGGGAGATAATGTAAGGGTGATAATGGGCACAGGACGGGAGATAATGTAAATGTGATAATGGGCACAGAAGGGGAGATAATGTAAGGGTGATAATGGACACAGGAGGGGAGATAATGTAAATGTGATAATGGGCACAGAAGGGGAGATAATGTAAGGGTGATAATGGACACAGGAGGGGAGATAATGTAAGGGTGATAATGGGCACAGGACGGGAGATAATGTAAATGTGATAATGGGCACAGAAGGGGAGATAATGTAAGGGTGATAATGGACACAGGAGGGGAGATAATGTAAATGTGATAATGGGCACAGAAGGGGAGATAATGTAAGGGTGATAATGGACACAGGAGGGGAGATAATGTAAGGGTGATAATGGACACAGGAGGGGAGATAATGTAAATGTGATAATGGGCACAGAAGGGGAGATAATGTAAGGGTGATAATGGACACAGGAGGGAGATAATGTAAATGTGATAATGGGCACAGAAGGGGAGATAATGTAAGGGTGATAATGGACACAGGAGGGAGATAATGTAAATGTGATAATGGGCACAGAAGGGGAGATAATGTAAGGGTGATAATGGACACAGGAGGGGAGATAATGTAAATGTGATAATGAGCACAGAAGGGGAGATAATGTAAGGGTGATCATGGACACAGGAGGGGAGATAATGTAAGGGTGATAATGGACACAGGAGGGGAGATAATGTAAGGGTGATAATGGACACAGGAGGGGAGATAATGTAAGGGTGATAATGGGCACAGGAGGGGAGATAATGTAAGGGTGATAATGGCACAGGAGGGAGATAATGTAAGGGTGATAATGGACACAGGAGGGGAGATAATGTAAGGGTGATAATGGGCACAGGAGGGCAGATAATGTAAGGGTGATAATGGGCACAGGAGGGAGATAATGTAAGGTGATAATGGGCACAGGAGGGGAGATAATGTAAGGGTAATAATGGGCACAGGAGGGGAGATAATGTAAGGGTGATAATGGGCACAGGAGGGGAGATAATGTAAGGGTGATAATGGGCACAGAAGGGGAGATAATGTAAATGTGATAATGGGCACAGGAGGGGAGATAATGTAAGGGTGATAATGGGCACAGAAGGGGAGATAATGTAAATGTGATAATGGGCACAGGAGGGGAGATAATGTAAGGGTGATAATGGGCACAGAAGGGGAGATAATGTAAATGTGATAATGGGCACAGGAGGGGAGATAATGTAAATGTGATAATGGGCACAGGAGGGGAGATAATGTAAGGGTGATAATGGGCACAGAAGGGGAGATAATGTAAATGTGATAATGGGCACAGGAGGGAGATAATGTAAATGTGATAATGGGCACAGGAGGGGAGATAATGTAAATGTGATAATGGGCACAGGAGGGGAGATAATGTAAATGTGATAATGGGCACAGGACGGGAGATAATGTAAATGTGATAATGGGCACAGGAGGGGAGATAATGTAAGGGTGATAATGGACACAGGAGGGGAGATAATGTAAGGGTGATAATGGACACAGGAGGGGAGATAATGTAAGGGTGATAATGGGCACAGGAGGGGAGATAATGTAAGGGTGATAATGGACACAGGAGGGGAGATAATGTAAGGGTGATAATGGACACAGGAGGGGAGATAATGTAAGGGTGATAATGGACACAGGAGGGGAGATAATGTAAGGGTGATAATGGACACAGGAGTGGAGATAATGTAAGGGTGATAATGGACACAGGAGGGAGATAATGTAAGGGTGATAATGGACACAGGAGGGGAGATAATGTAAATGTGATAATGGACACAGGAGAGGAGATAATGTAAGGGTGATAATGGACACAGAAGGGGAGATAATGTAAATGTGATAATGGACACAGGAGAGGAGATAATGTAAGGGTGATAATGGACACAGGAGGGGAGATAATGCAAGGGTGATAATGGACACAGGAAAGGAGATAATGTAAGGGTGATAATGGACACAGGAGTGGAGATAATGAAGGTCGTAATGGACACAGGAGGGGGATAATGTAAGGGTGATAATGAACACAGAAGGGGAGATAATGTAAGGGAGATAATGGACACAGGAGGGGAGAAAATGTAGGGGTGATAATGGACACAGAAGGGGAGATAATGTAAGGGTGATAATGGACACAGGATGGAAGATAATGTAAGAGTGTTAGTGGACACAAAAGGAGAGATAATGTAAGGGTGATAATGAACACAGGAGGGGAGATAATGTAAGGATTATAATGGACACAGGAGGGGAGATAATGTAAGGGTGATAGTGGACACAGGAGGGAAGATAATGTAAGGGTGTTAGTGGACACAGGAGAAGAGATAAAAAAGTAAGGGTGATAATGGACACAGGAGGGGAGATAACGTAAGGGTGGTAATGGACACAGGAGGGGAGATAACGTAAGGGTGATAGAGGACACAGGAGGAGAGATAATGTAATGGTGGTAGTGGACACAGGAAGGGAGATAATGTGAGGGTGGTAGTGGACACAGGAGGAAAGATAATGTAATGGTGATAACGGACACAGGAGGGGAGGTAATGTAAGAGTGATAATGGACACAGGAGAGGAGATAATAAGGGTGATAATGGACACAGGAGGGGAGATAATGTAAAGGTGATAATGGGCAAAGGAGGGGAGATAATGTAAGGGTGATAATGGAAACAGGAGGGGAGATAATGTAAGGGTGATAATGGACACATGAGGGGAGATAATGTAAGAGTGATAATGGACACAGGAGGGGAGATAATAAGTGTGATAATGGACACAGGAGGGGAGATAATGTAAGGGTGACAATGGGCACAGGAGGGGAGATAATGCAAGGGTGATAATGGACACAGGAGGGGAGATAATGTAAGGGTGATAATGGGCACAGGAGGGGAGATAATGTAAGGGTGATAATGGACACAGGAGGGGAGATAATGTAAGGGTGATAATGGACACAGGAGGGGAGATAATAAGGGTGATAATGGACACATGAGGGGAGATAATATAAGGGTGATAATGGAGACAGGAGGGTAGATAATAAGGGTGATAGTGGACACAGGAGGGGAGATAATAAGGGTGATAATGGACACAGGAGGGTAGAAAATAAGGGTGATAGTGGACACAGGAGGGGATATAATAAGGGTGATAGTGGACACAGGAGGGTAGATAATAAGGGTGATAGTGGACACAGGAGAGGAGATAATAAGGGTGATAGTGGACACAGGAGGGTGGATAGTAAGGGTGATAGTGGAC